TCATCTGGCCTTTTTACGGAGCACAAACCTGCCTCTGAATGCACGATCACGTTGCAGCTTTATTTAAAAAATGTTTCCTATAGTGAAATCGCTAAGAATACTCAATACAAGGACAAAAACGGTGCAATGTAAAAGAAATGTTTGAAAATTAAATCTTCAGTTATTGATTGCATTAAAACAGCTCCTTCTGCCTCTTGCGGATGGAAGCAATAATACCGATTCAAAAACGTATCCAATGCTGTTTCTTTTTAACCCAGTCCTTAAATTGAGTGCAGTTGACTTTCTGTCCCCACTTTAGAGGACATTCGACAGGCTTTTATATACACAGCTGATTAGAAAACTTTAAAAGAAAATGCAGTCCCTCTGGATAATTGCTTAGCACTGGTGCCGATAATCCAGTAATGGTAGGCTTGAAGAATGGTGTTGCGGCTCGAGAAAGCAAATTCAATTTGCAGTTATGAGGTGCACCTGTCACCTTTTCAATTTAGCACTGAAAAGGAGCAGCTTTTTACCAAAATGGATGAACACATTGTTGATATTTATTATCTTGAAGAGTTTTAAAAGAAAGGAACAATAAACATTCAACAGCGCATATGCTGAAATGACAAATTTAAACTGGTACCTGGCTGTCTTTAAAAGAAATGCTTACTAGAATCCTCGATCACGGATTACTTCTTTGCATTTTTCAAAGAGTAAATGCTTTCCGAGAGAGAAGAGGCTCTATTAAGTTTAAATACATAAGTAAATGGAGATGGTATTACGGCTTCCTTGTTTAAATAGTTTGAGAAAAATAAAGTAATTTCCAAGGTGTTTTGCCCGGGGAAACCCTGGAATTCGGGATTTTGAACTTCGATCCCCGAATTCTGGGGATCGTCGTTCAAAAGGAAGTAGAATAATAATGATTATTTTTTGATCTGGGTATTTTGTTGCTTTGAAACAAAACTCAGGTCATGTGTTGGCCTTTCTTTCTTCCCAAATGTGATAATGCTGAAAGGGAAAAACTTCTTTTTGTTCTTCCCTATTGCAGTTATACCATTCCCCCGTTCTCGACATCTCTTCTGATTCTTTCGGCAAGAAGCGCCGCAGAAAAAACGGGATAGACTCTTTCGACCAGTGCGATCACGTACTCTGTTCAAGGTATTATCTTCTTGCGTGCGCCAGAGTAAGAGGGGGATTTTTCGCCATATTAGCTATTTTTATTTCGCTCCAACTTTTTTTCTCGCTATTAAAATTTTCGTTTCATTATTGATGCAGGAAATTTTTCGTTTCGTTTTGAAATATTTTTATTTATGTCCAGAGAATTTCACTATGAATTCTCGATAGAAATAGTGATATTATACAATTAGAAGAAGGTGTCCAGAAGCATTTAGTGGATTCGATTGAACGAGAGGTGGTAATGGGATACCTCGCATGGTGCAAGAAAATAAATGTTCTGGACAAGCATATTGTTTTTTTTAACTCACTGCGAGTATTGTGGGGAAGGATTCGGCTTTCACAATCATCTAAAACTGTGACGCACATAAAATATTCAAGTGCATTAGACATTCAATGACTTAAGAATTATGCTAATTCAAAAAACTGATACTTACTGGAGACGATGCTGGCATTGATAATGACAAGAAAGCACGCTAAGAGGTATTAATAACTTCGTTTATCGCTGAGAATTCTCTTTCTTTCAGTGTAGCCCATTTAATTGAACTCTGCAACGTTGAGCCGCATCAGACGGCACTAATTCGTTGGAAATGTTCCAGGACTACTGCATGTTAGAAATGAAATATGGCTCGCAAATTATTAAGGAAATATCATTAAAACTTAGGAGACTCCTTTTCTCTAATTTGGATGAAAGTACTAGCAATGCTCAAGAAGTATACTGGCAAATTGGTGCAGTTTTTATGAACAATCAAAAGAAGTTGTAGTTCATCATTTTCATCTCTAGATGGAATCTTGCAATTCAAAGCTGTTTTTAAAGCATTAAGCATACTATTGGAAGATAATAATATTCCATGGGCAACTTAATTAGTGTAATTATGGACATGTAACACTATGCGTGGAAAAAAAAGGGTGTTGAAACCAACTATGATCAACAAAGCACCCCACTTATTAGATATTGAGGTGAAAAAAAAATTTGCTTCATGTTTTGATAGATACTTAGAAGATTTGTTTGATGACATCTATTTTGAAATTAAAAGCTGCAGTAAAAGAGAAAATTTTTTCAAAATCTGTGAATCCCGCCATTAAAAAACTAGCCCTTGAAGAGACCAGACCATAGATGGTGTACATTTATGTGTTTTAGAAAGAATCAAAGATCTGTGGATGCTCTTATTGCATTTTTTTTTCACTTGTAAAATGATAAAGGGATTATTTTTCTTATGTTGAAACTGTATACAATAAAAGAAATATTTCTGCAGCTCAGAAAAAAATTGTTGAAGGGGTGTTCTTGCTTGCATTCCACAACCACAAAGGATGCTTTAGCTCGGAAAAAAAGAACTAAATGGGTTTTGTTATGCAAAACAAAACTTTATTGCATGGCATTATATTCAAGTTTACCAGAGTTCAACACTATATTAAATTATTTGAAACCAAACCAATGCTTCATTTAATACATTCCATATTTATAAATTGATGGCAAAAAAAAAAAAAGCCAGAAAATATAGAGTGCACATCTTATAATGATTTATTAAAGTTATGTCACAATCCAGAATTCCATCTACCTAGCAAAGTAATATTACTGGTGCAGAAGCTTCCACTCTCCTGAAGAAATTATCAAAAATCCCATAGCAAAAGAATCCCAAATTTCTCTGATGAAGCTTATACTAATACAGCACAGCAGGAAACAGAAATTACCCCTTAAAATTCATATCTAATTAGTTTACAGCATTATCCAGAGCTAAGAGGTAAAACCAGTACAATTTAGCTTTTAAAAAATTATCATCTTTTGTCCCATATTTTTAGTGATAATCAAAATAGAAGCTGAATAAGGTAACCAGAGTGATATTGTATCACCAAAGAAATGCTCTACACATCGATGAAATGGAAATTAATCAAGTGTACGATTGATAAATATTGTCTAAAGTTTTTATTTAAAAGATGATTTACAAATGATTATAAGTATCCTACATTGGCTAAATTGTTCAAAGCCTGCCTAGCGCTTCCATGGCCCATTATGAAAGTGCATTCAACTTAATGGATACACTTGTCACTGACTATAGAACCTCTCTTAAGATTGATTCCCTAGATGCAGTGCCGACTATTAATATGATTTAATGGCTTCTAAAGAACCTCATGTGAAAATATGGCTAAAAATCCAATGACTGATCCATTTCACAAGATCTCTTACTGAATATGACAGAAGTTGGAAACATATCAAGAGTACTAAAAATATGTATTTTAATTCGTCACCTATAAAATCTCTGAAAAACCTTCTAATTCAGAAAAGCAAACTGCTTCTACTCTGCATTGCAGTTCTCAAGGAAATTTCTTCACTGTAAATGAGGAAAATAAAAGTCAACCTTCCTGCAATTATGAAGTTAACCACAAAAGAAAGCAAGCCCACAAACATCAGAAAATAAAAAACAGCAGATTAGATATTTTTTAAAAATTAATTCAGGTATTTAAAATATTTACATAAATGTAGTAGTTTTATGTTTGAAAATTTATGGTTTTAATTTTGCAAAAGTTAATTCATTGAACTTATAATTAGGTCATTCAATACTTCGTAATTGTAATTTTTTCTTTTCTCTTCCGCTCCTTCTCAAACTCCAAAATGTCGGTAGTATCCGTAAAAGTTTCAGGGATATTTTGGGTCCCACAAACACCCCTGAATTTTTGCATCATTCAGCATTCAACTGGCAGTTCTCAAAATAATACGCAAAATATAAGCGTAAAGCTGATACAAAATTTCTCTCAAAATAAAAAACTGCTCACACAAAAACATTTTCCGATTACTGTAAGTTTATCTGTGAGACGAAATTTGTTTTTTTTTTTCTTTGGACCTTAACAAACTTTTTGCTTTTTTTTTTACAATTCATTTTCACATTCGATGTTCTTAACACAATTCTACAAAGCAGATTCCATTAATTCATGTTTTGCAATCAATGATTTATGATCTGTTTAAAGACATTTTATCAAAGTTTGTAAAACCAGTCTGTATTTTGTTTGTAATTCTATATATGATGTGATTTATGGTGAAGAAAATCAGAAGAAATGAAGATTTGGTAATAAGCTGCAACTACAAAAGTAGTGGAAGAACTTTCAGAAGACAAAAATAAGTTTTATCTTCATGTTAGAAGTTACTTCTGTCGAGTATGTGATTACATATTACATAAATTTCCAGTCAACAATGAAGTGATTTTGCATGCTAAAGTTTGTGGTGTTTCTGCTCTAGCAAATTCATCTTTTTCTGATATAAGGTACTTTTTTAACAGATGTTTCTTTCTTAACGAAAGCAAAATCTGCTTCTGTTCATAACATTTGTACAAAAACTGATTAAAGTGTCCTTTTTTTTTTTTTTTGTTAATGATGCAAGTAATTAAAATGTTTTTTTATGTCTAATGTATTTTTGTGCTGCTTGCATTTAAGACTTAGTAACTATTTCATTATTAATTATTAAGTTAATTCATTATTAAAAACTATATTTTTATCATTTAAAAAGTCTTTTAAACATTGTGAAAAATCTCCTGATTTCTTTAAAAAATCTGCTGATTTTTGAGTGTCATAGGTTGGCAAGTATGCATGGTTTTCCCCGTATGTAATGTGTATATGAGCCAGTTTCCCGTAGAAATTCCTCCACGAAGACATCCCTTCTCATAGGCAGATAGCCCTCGAGTGCTTTGGCATATTCAAATAAATCAAACCAGACAACATTTAACACTTTATTGGGAATTCTCCAAATAAAGTGTTAAATGTTGTATGTAATGTAAATTAAATGAAACGGAAAAGTACCGAGAATTCTAAACATATGTTGCTGTGCCGCTTTTAACAATTTTGTGATTTTGCTGTAGATTTGTATGTGGGGGTAAGTGCAAAGACAAGCAATGTTTATGAAGGAAGCTAAAATTATGAAAAAAACTTGTTGGCAGAAATGAATCCAAGAGCTGAATAGTAGCTTGTGATGCTCAGCGAGAGTATAAAGACCTTAATACAAACCTTCTGGTGAGTCATTAAAATCTGAATCCTTTCCGATTTTTTCTTTTTCCCTTCCCTTTTTTCTTTTCTCTTTCCTTTCCACCCCTTCGTCGATGGGTATTATTTGGTAATCATATTCAAAATAGTATCAAACAAATTCTTATTTTCAGTAGCTTGTTTCTGCTTCCACATGAACTCTGTTAAATTTCAAGATAGGCGATGCTAAACAGTACACATTGCTATTTATTCCTCCAATTTACTGACGCCCATGTGGGTTTTCAGTTAAAGCCACACGACACATTTCCGCTGCTATATTGGTGCATCCTTACTTTTCCCTACGCCTTTCTTCTTATTATTAGAGGAAACAGAAGGATCGGGAATAGCAACAAGGAACATGTTCTAATTACACGACAAAATCTTCCAAAAAACAACTGAGAGATGAAAATGTGGCCTACGTTAGTTTTGTAGTTATTTTTGTTATTAGATGAATAATTTTTACCTACATGAACAATTTTGTCTTGTGTTTCGTTTGAAGTAAGCTTTGGCTCTCAAAATTCAACTGGCTTTAACAAAACTAGTAAATGAATTGTACAGTAACAAAAAGAATGAATGACCTAACAAACTACGTTTGCGTTCAAACAACTTTTCCTTCCTTCCTGGCATTTCGGCTTCGAATCACATTTCAGTTTCCTGAAATGGTTATTTGTAGAACCAGGAGGCAAGTGAGAAGAGGAAGGGGTGCCAAATTAACTACAAAAATTTTGAAATTCATTAAAAAATAAATTTTAATTTTTAACTCTGAAATGCACCAATGAATATGAAGAAGAGTTTTGTGCTTAAAATAGTCAATCTGATTTAAAAGAAGAATCAATAATATTCATTTAATCTCAGAAAAGATGAGTTTCAGAGTATGTATCAGTATGTATGTATATTTTATAGCATTAAAATTTATTAATGGAAGTAGCATATTGAAGTCAATGTGCACTTCTTATAACGAACTGCATAGGCTAAACTTGCATAAAAATATCATACTCCTGATTTTAGTAAATCTTCACTTTTTCTGCTATTAATTTGCATCCTTTGTTTCTACTTCACCATAACAAGGTTTCCAAAGAGCACAGATGGCGACGCAATTGGTGAGAGCATGACGTATAAAGGGGATTTTGTACGTCATGCTCTCACCAATTGCATCGCCATACTATTGGAATAGCATCGGGAGACTGAACAAGAGTATTTGAAAATGAAACGTACTTCACCTATCTATTTTTTGTGTGAAATCTGACAATTGAATTTGCTAATAACTTGAGGTTTATCTTATTGTATCCGTGTAATTGCTTCAAAAAATGTCAGCATGCTTGAATTAGAAGCGACATTTTTGTATAATAAATTTAGGATTTTAAAATTTAAACGACAAGGATCATATTTAGGATCATCATTACTTTGAAAATAGTTCTCTCCACACCTTTGTATATTTTAGTCATATTGGCGCCATAATCACGTACTTATTTTGAATGTTTTGAATATTGATGCCATCTTTTTCTAAATTAACTTCCTATTGTAAATCATTACCAGTTTTCTCTGTTTTTCTAATCATATTGAAAAATCTTTCTTCAACAATTATAAAATCATTTTTTACCCTTTTTTTTTTTAATATATATATAATTTCATTTTAGTCTTCGTGTGTCTATACATTGGTACAGTGGTTCCTCATGAGATTATCGAATACAATCAAATATCGAAGAAAACTATTTCGCCTCTTAATTTCTAAAAAGAATTTCGCACGTACAGGGCTATCTCATTTCGACCGTGGTAAATTTTTTTAAACATAAGAAATGTATCTCTCATGTTTAATTATCTAAATAAACAAAGAACGAGATAGAATTACACACTTTTAAAAATTGTTTATTAACAATACTTACATTGGAAATAAAAGAAAATCATAGTGAGACAAAAGAACAACATCTATAATTTGTGTCTGTTTCCTTCTTTGTTAACAACATTCGAACATTTAGAGATAACACTAATATGTTAAAGGGGGGGGGGAAAACCCTATCGCTTGTTACTTTAACAAGCTGTGGTTTTGGGAACAACAGAACTAAAAAAAAACAAAAAAAAAAACAGAAGTCGCGTCTTACCTCATATGTGTGTATTCTGGTCCTGATAAAGAATGAGACAGACTGTGTGTCGATTTGTTTAATACATCCAGCAGTATATGAAATAATCATAAAATGTGGAGTTCTGGTGTAAATTAAACATGAATGCAATAAAATAAACCCTCTAACCAGGCATCTTATTCAATAGAAAAATTTACGCAAGAAATGAAGCAAATGACTGATACCGTGGTACATATGCACCAAACAAAAATCAACTGCAGCAGTAGCTTGTTTTTATATTAAGCTATGTAACTAAATAAAAAAATGACCTAAATAAAGTGTAAAGGTTAATTCTATGTGTAGATTGTAGATTCGGTGAAACAATGAGCAAGTGATTTTGTTAAAATAGTAATTTATATAAAACAGTAAAACCACATGGTTACTTTTCCATTTTGCCGGCACAAATGATAAAGTCGCCAATAATAGTATAACTGATGCCAAACGGAATATCTTCGCTGGTAACCTTTTACCCTTCATTTTCAAAACAAGTTGCGGCCATTTATCAGATTGATTGTTTCTTTCAGTACTGGCACACAATTACATAGAATTTTTACTAGTTAATTTTATGCCTTAGTCCATTCGCAGTATTATTAGGATGGACATCATACCACTCACTCGAGGCGAAATATAGGAAGGCAAAATCATAATTCATCAAATCTAATGCACTGGCGAAGTAAGCACTTCAGTTTTACATACTTTCTGAGTAGCTATCGTACGAATTAAAATTTCTTGCATTTAACTTGTATTCATAAGATTTAACTTGAAATTAATTTAGTAATTACTGAAAGATTAGATTTTGCGCCTCCTACTACGAAGCCAGGCTCGAGGGTGTTTGAACGCTTGACGTCACGAAAGTCGTCTCCCTTTGTCAACACCTGCCTCGTGCTCTGGTAGTGTAGTGAACCGACTGTTGTTTGAAAGTGTAGTATGTTGTAGTTGAATATTTTACATTTGCGAATTATTTTATTTTTTTACTATGCCACACAAATGCTGTGTTGCAACATGCAAAAAAACAAAAGGCCCGAAGTGCCATTTTAGATTTTCTGCGGAAGAAGAGCTCAAAAAGAAATGGATTTGGAACTGCAAACGACAAGATGGATTCCAGCCTACCAAACATTCAAAGGTAAACATGCATTCCATTTTTAAATTAGAAAATTCCTGAAAGATTAATGCTATTGAAACATAAGTGACTTGAAAATGTTAAACAAAAAATTCCGACTGCAAGGGAAATAACATACTAAAATTCTATCGCATTCAACCAAAGCAAATAAAACGAACTTTTATATTATCGTTTCATTGCTTTCTATACAAGAATGGTTATGTATTTATTTAATAGGCTGAAATTCCTTTTGTACACATTATGAATGAGAATTATTAATGAACTCTTTAATTAATTTATATTTCCCCAGGACCATCGAGATTTTTTAACATGTACATTGGTCAGTGATTCATTAATCTTGCAGGAATTTTCCTTTATGTAATACAGAGCTTATGTTGAATTTTAAAGTGATTATAAAATAAATCCTTTTCTCAACAAGTATTCAATATAAAAACCACCTATCTTATAATGTTCATTTAAATTTTGATTAATTAGATAAGCATACAAAATGTATCAATATTAAACGTGTATCAATATTAAAATGTATCAATATTAAATGTATCAATATTAAGACGTTAATTTAACGTTGTTTTAGATTTAAATATCTAACTGTTTGGTATATTATTAATTGCTCTGATTTAGATTAATTCCCATTATACCTTATTATTTTTTCTTTTTACAGTTGAATGTATGCAATACCCTATTATATTCTAGGAGCATTTGAGAATGCATTTTGCTCATAGATCATGTAAACAGGAAATTAATGCTAACGATGCAATGTTCTAAATTTTACTAATTGAAAAAAACCGTTAAAAAATTAAGAATTATAAGTAAAAGAAAACAAACATATAAATTGAATAGTGTTTCACCGTAGTTATTTTAATTTCTGGAGTAGGTTACACTGGGTGTTTAAAATAACCTGCTAAGTAAAATTGCCACATATTGAAAGCTTACTAGTTTTTCACTGTGCTTGGTAGCATAAATCCTGATTAGCTTATTAAAGTGTTCCATACACAAATATATATGAGTTTCTTATACCAAAAATGCCTAACTTGTTCCTGGCATTAAGTTTTTATCTAAAAGCACTTACTGGTGTTTTATTTATTTGTAGTTGCAGCCAAATGTAAAAATGTTTTATTGTAGTAATAAATTATGTAGATTTTAAAAAAATTTGAAAAAGTAAAGAAAATCATGTGGAATATAAGCAGTCTAAAAAGGAGCAATCCACAGCAATATATTGTCAAACACATGACACATGATTGGGAAATTTTCACTCAAAAATTACATAATGACCTAAAACATTTGATTTCTGCAAGTGAACTCTTAACAATTCTGTTTTCAGTCACATAACTCTAGTAAAACATTTGATTTCTGCAAGTGAACTCTTAAATATACAAATTCTTGTTTTTCTCTTTTTTATTTCATTACTTTAGCACTTATACTCTCTTAATAATAATAATAAAAAAAAGGAGCAATGTTTTTTTAATGATTTATGTTTATGTTCTTAAGTATAAATACATATGTATACAAGTAAATTTGTACTTCTGGTTGTGAACATGTCAGTTCTCAAAATGTTCAGCAAAAGAGCCAGTAAATTTATATCCGAATGCCAGGAGTGAATGCGGATTGCTTTATCCATCAAATTGATGATTAATCATATTCTTTACATAACTGTATTATCAACTTTTTGATTGTACTTCAATAACCAAGTGTTGTCTTCAAATAACTGAAGAGAAAAATATTTAGGATGTAGCAATTATAGTTACTTGATCTGTGCATTTGGCATATGACAAACAACAAAAATGTGCTAATTGTTTACACTTTCAAAACTTTGCTAAAGCATCCATGGCTCTTTTTAGCTCAAAAGGGTTTTTAATTTTGTTTTGGGATTTTGCCGCTTAAAGTGGATTAAATGGCTGTATCCCTTTTCAAATTATTGCCACCAAATATTATCGCTTTGTATTAATTTTAAAGAAATTACATAACGAAGAATCTACATGTAGCAACAATGTTTAAAATAAAATAATTTCATTTCCAACACACGAGATTATTGCCAGTTGGGAATGTAAGACTTTTATCTTTTAGTATCGAATATTTTCTGATTTTGCTATTGAATTCAATTTTATATGATCTAAATGCAAAGAATGTGATATTTACTATAGTTTATAATAAAACCAGGAAAAGAAAATTTAACATTTATATGATGAATAAGAAAAGAGTGAAAAAATAGAAAAATGTGTGCTAACATTTAACACTACAACGGGAATTCTAAACATATCCTGCTGTTAAGCTTTTAAAAAATTTGTCGTTGTGTTGTTGAACTGTATAGTATGTGGTGCAAATGCAAAGAAAACTGTGCTTAAAAATAATGCTAAAAAAAAAAGAAAAAAATGTTAGAAGTGAGTGCAAGAGCAGACTGGTAGACTGCGAGGTCAGCGAGAGTGTAAAAATTCCCGATAAACTCTTGCTTGGGTCCACCAGCAGCTGAGCGGCAAAGTTGCTGAACACTGGTTATTCAGTTCAGGGTTCCCAAATGTATACAAGCCAAATTCCTTTAAAGTGTTCCTCCACGAAGGCATCCCTTTCTTAGGCAGATAGCCCTTGAGTGCTTTGCCATGATTAAATAAAATAAAACCCTTTTGGGTGACCGTTAAAATCTTATTCTTCCAGATTTTTTTTTTTTTTTTTTTTTTTTCGGTAATTGGTAATCTTAGCATACACATTATACGCTTAGATTAGATAGACTTATAAGGTCTATCATGTGTGTTTAAAAGGATGGCAAAATGCTTACCA